TGTACACTCTCTCATTGTTTTTCACTAATTTTCAGAGTGTTCATGGGCTGGCATTATCCAGTCACTTGAAGCCATCTGGTAACTTGGTTTTGTAGCTGCAGTCTTAAAACTGTCTTTATAATCTAGACTACAGGAGGTCTTTTTCAGCCTTATAGAAGTGGAGAAGGACATTATAAATGCTATTTGGCTTTGTGATTTTCCTTTTCTAATTATCCCATTAGCACACCGCATTCATCTCATCGTTTTCCATAATTGCTAATAAATAAGATTATTGGTGAAACTTTCACTGGAGCCCATTAGAATAGTTCTGGCAGAGATGGAATTCTCATGGTGTCAGTTCTGCTTCACAAAATCTTCAGGGCAGCTAAACTCATTATGTGCCAGACTTGAGCTTTCTTGTAGTCTGTTGGCAGTTATTAAATCATTTCAAAATGAACTCTTTGCATAGCTATTTTTCAAAAGAGAAACCTTTCTCTCAGAGAATATTGCAGGAGTTGTGCTCAGCTGATTGTGTAGAACACATGGAACTGTTTTCCTTTGGTGACTCCACCTCCTTCAGCAGAATTCCATGCTGGCATAAATGCCATGGTTCTTTCCTCAAAAACAAGCCATGGTTGCTGATTATGTGCCAGTAAACTTACCAAGATGTATTTTTGTTTGGGTTTTTTGTTTGTTTTGTTTGGGTTTTTTGGGGTTTTTTTGGTTGGTTGTTTTTTTTATTTTAATAAAGTTTTTATTTTGGCAGCTTAGTTCCTCAGAGAACAGTACTGGTCATGGGTTGATCATTTCTTTTTGGAGATCTCAGCCATGTGATGCTAGGAGGAGCTGGGGACTCACCCCTCTCTCCTTCCTTCTGGGGAGCAGCTCAGGGAGCTCAGGGGAGTCCTGCTCTGGCTGGCTTTTCCTCGTGGAGAATTGTATTTAAACTCAGAAACACCTCAGGGAAACAGCATTTTTTTCCTTGCTTGAAGTTACCCATGAGTGACGAGCAGCTGTGATAACCAGGCGAGGGACGTGCCGCGTGTTCTGCCTGTTCTTTCCACTTTGTGAAGAAGTGGGCAGAGGGGTCAGCCAGATCCAGGCTGATAATCCTGGTGAATTATGCCACATTCCTCAACTCTACAGTTTTACATGTTGCTGTGTTCCCTGAATTGGGAAAAAAACAAAGATTGCAGAGCCCTGTAAGTCAGAGGCTTACACGCTCCAGGAGCTGCATCTGAAAACTGCAAGGGAAATGTCCAAAAATTATTAATTTGGGGACACCACAGGCTGCTGGAGATCAGCAGTGGATCCACATAATTTAATTTCAGGCAAACCATTCCAGCCCAAGGGTCAAATTATGAATAAATATAAGACAAAACACACCATCTGGTGAACCATGCCTAATGAAACTGAATTTGTTTTTCAGTGGATCTCAAGGCCAGTTAAGAACTCATCCATATTTCTCATCACTTCTTACTAAATGGTGCATTCAGAGCTCTTCCCTTCCTCCTCACCATCACCCTTTGAGCTCTGAGTCACTCAGGGGTGTGGGTGGTGGCTGCTCTGGTGCTGTGCTGAGCATTTTGCTGAAGTAAAAAAGCTGCTGCAGGCTGGCAAACACACGGGGCTAGAAAAGCATCATTTCATCTCCTCTGGTGCTGTCTGCACAGTGCCCTCTGCTTCTGGGAGGCTTTGCAGGCAGCTCAGATCTCTGGGATGATTTCCTGCTCAGTAAGTTACACCCAGAGATGGAAGAAGTGGAGCTGGATGTGAAATGATTGCTGTAAAACCTCGCTTTGCCTCAGTATTTTGTGATTTTGCTAGAAAATGCATGGCTTACTCTAGAGCTCTCTGGCTTCAGCAGGCTGAGTTCTGTATGGCTGAGAAAGCAGATATTTCCTTTTAGGTGGTCCAGTCTGCAGATTTCCAGTGTCTTCTTCTCTTACTGAGTAGTTTTTACATTTGTACAGAAAATAGGACAGTCACATTTTTATAGCACCCAGGAAATAAATGGTGAGATGTGGTTTTTCAAGTCTCAGTCAGGAAGAGTTTGTACTTCCCAGTATGTCTCAGAAAGGTGTTGCTGTTTTAGCCCTTGCTGATCATAGTGGAATTATTCAACCAGTACCAACAAAAATGATGGAAACAAATGCATGGCAGATGACAAATATTTCTGCTTATATATTGCTGTCTTGATGATGTATAGTGTGTGATTAATTTTTTTAAAAATGTGATTACAAAATTAGAAACATCTCATCAAATATATATTCAGTTTTCTACATAGTGAATTTTATCTTTCTTCTACATACATGGCAGCTCTTAAAGGTTGTATGACAAAGGATTTCATCAAAAGCAGTTTTTGTCCCATTGAAATGTTTTCTGCTTTTCCTGAATTCCTATGAACTAAATATTAGGCTCAGATTTTCAGTTTTGCCCATGTGATGTTTGATGTCCCATTTATCCCACAATTAAATAAAAATTTTGATGCCTCAAGCGGGGAACAGCAAATGAAAATGAAGAGAATTGCACTGAGATGAAGCTCAGGTTCCAGGTATCCTGAATTCCCAGCATCCAGGTGATCCTGAAATGCTCAGTGAATGTTCCCAGTGTGGAATGTGCTTCATAATCCCTCAATAATCCTGGGAAAAGCTGCCCACACAGTAGTGTGAAAACAGCAAAAACAGCACCCTGTTCCTTGACTTTTGTGGCTAAATATCACTGCTGCTCAGATCTGTCTCTAGTGCAGCTCCTGTAGTCATTTACCTGGAATTCAAAGTTTTTCCTATTTTATATACATTATTATTTATTTTTTTTTGACTTGGAGAAAACCCTGAACCTTGCTTCCTTTTCATATTAGGATGTAAAAAAGACACATTTCAGAACAGCATCTGGCTTTTTAAAATAGGTGTTTTTACTCAGATATCTCAATTTATCTTTATTTATTTATGAAATAGAAAACATATGCCTTCAGTTGAAATGCAATCCCATATGTAAACAGCATTTCGCTTTCTAACTTTTTTGTTTAAACTTGAGATGAGCCTTACCTAAGATATAAAACAACTGATACTGTTCTTCTGAAATACTGAGAAGCTGGGTTTGGGAGGCTGTTGTTTTTATGAGTTGCTTTTGTTTTTTTTTAAAGCCTCATAGCTTACCCTGATCAATCAGTGGAATAACATTGGCCAGAGGCTCGAGGTCTGGATGGAAATTCTGTCTGCACAAGCTGTTCACTGGGCTCCAGTGTAACAGCTACTTGCAGGATTGCTCCAGTGACAATATTTTAATCCAACTTTCCTGGACACTCCTGCTGACATTTCTGGGTTTAGTTGGAATAAAGTACTAAAGCTGTAACCAGAGTTAACAATTCTGTACTACAATATTTCAGTTAAATTGCAGGTTATTAAATAAAGCAAGCCAATTTCTGATCTCACTTAATGTACATTTCCAGTAATTCAGGATCTGATGTCAACAAAAAAAAATGGTTTAGATAGTGCAAAGAAGTAAAGTAATCAGATTATCTTTCAGGAAATGTATAGTGTTTATTTCCAAGTATTTTAACGTGGTACAGAGCTAGAAGGATCTGCAGTTTGCAGGGTGGTGGTTTGGGTCAGATGGACAATGCTTCTAGTGCAGGCTTTGGCTCTTGGCTGGGGTGGGCTGGGGCAATTACTCCCTTCTTGCTGGGTGTGCAATTTTCCTGCACTTCCCTGCCCTGTCTCCTTCTCCTCAAGAGCTGTAGCCCCTCTTCCCTGAAATCACCATCTCCCAAATCCCTGAGTCTCTCCAGGCTCCCGTTTGTTCTAGCAGTGATCTCCCAGTGAGAACACACAGCACGAGCACAGCTTGTAATCACATTTGTAAAGAAATTAATTACACACTATACATCATCAAGACAGCGGTATCCAAGCAGAAATATTTTGTCATCTGCCACGCATTTTTTTCATTATTTCTGTTGGTATTGGTGGAACAAAGGCTAAAACAGGTTATTATGGGAAAACCCAAGAGCTGGCTTTGTGCCCTGCAAGTTTTTTACCTCCTTTTCCCGTAAAATCAGGCTTTTTACCCCGTTCATGGGGCAGATCCCATCTGTTTCACCACTCCAGTTGGTTTTCTGGGCTTTTCCAGTTGGGCAGGTCAGGTTCCAGAGCAGAGCTGGGCCACTTGTGACGCTCTGGTGGTGGCACAGGGAGGCAGAGGAGCAAAGCAGGATTCACACAGGTCACACATGCAGTCCCTGACACGTGGAATTTGGTTAAGCTGTGTGATGAATCTAATTGTGAACAATCTGGACAAGAGAAATACCTTTGGATAATGCATGCATATCTCCAGAGCTCTAAAGAGGGAGTCCTTAAGCACGGGTGGAACTTGAAGGATACAGAGCCCCCTTTGTCTCCGTGGGCTGTGAGCTCCATTCCCAGCAGCCCTGTTTTCCTGGTCATGAGCTACATGGAAAGGAGCATTTAGCAACAGCTGAATTAACAATATTATTAACAATTAAAAATAAACAGCTGAGTTGGCTGAGCCTGACTTCCCCAATTCTGGGTCCCTTTGAGGACTCTGCCATTAATGCTGCTGCTGTCTCTGAGCTGGCTGTGTTTGTGCAGACTCCACGCAGGGCTCCAGGTTTGTAAGAGCACTTAGGGACAGTAAATGGAGGCTGGTGATTCATGGGGAAAAAAAACACCCAATGTTATTTGCCAAAAAGCACCCCAGCCAAGCCAGAGGTTTCTTTATCCTGGATTATAGTGACATAAGAGAAAATCCAACAGCTCTAAGCAGGGGTTGAATGGAGAGCAGTCAAGAGCAGTGAAAAGGAAAACCCTTGCATTTTGCTGCTGTTGAGGAGTTTCTGATCAGACCAAGCAGCAGACACAGGGAATCCCCAAACAGACTGGTGCAGGCCAGGAGCTGAGGCAGTAAATTCAATCTCCCCTGTTTGAAAGCTAGGTGATTTCAGGAAGCTGTGTCACAGGTCCCTGTGCTTCTCCAGTGGGTCACCGTGTGTTTGTGTTCACAGGATGAGCATTTGGCAAATGATACAATTTGTGAATAAAGGTAAAGACAGGTAAGAGGCAGCAGTGTTGTAACATTGTCCAAATGCATTGATGTGGAATTTTACAATCCACACCACCCTGGGCTTCAGGATAGTAGTTTAGGGTTCCTCCTGGGCACATCAGTGCAGCTGGGTCTACTTCCAAGGTCTAAGCTCTGCCATCATTTGGAGTTTGCCATTGCACTGTGAAAGTTTCTACTTCAGATCAGTTTTTACATGTATAAGTTACATATCAAGAAAAAATAAAACATAGTCTTTAAGAGGCTCAGTGAACAAAAAATACCATCTCAGTGAAAAATGTTTGCCTTAACATTTGTCATCTAAATACTGTGTGGCTGTTAAGGCAAAACACGATTTTTATCAGTTCTCTGTTCTAAATATTTTTAATTTTTTTTTTCTCCTGAGAAGTGCCATTTATTGAGTTTACTGAAAAATCAGGCCATTCTCAGTTATTTCTTTTTCTAAGCCAGACCTTTAGCAGCAGTGTCCTACGGTGTGTTCTGCCAGCAGTTTGCATACATTTGTTGTCCATCCTAAATGAAACTAAGGACAAATATATTTGGAGAGCTAGGTCTCCCCCAGTTCATTCTGTTGTATTTCTACAATAGAATTTGGGCCTTGTTTTCTACTCAGAAGTGCTGCCTTCAGCTTCAGCACAAGTTGGTTTACAGTGAAGAATTCACTAACAGGAGAGAATGTGGTGTGTCCAAGCGTGCAGGGATGATCAAAGTGAAAGATGGAGCAGGATGGTGCTCTCGATATTTCAGTCCAAAGGAGCAGAGCCAGTGGCTCCCTCACTTACAAAGATGCCAGTTTTGAGTCTTTGATGAGATCCTTCTTGGTCTGTGTGTGTGAGTCTGGGAGAGTTTGGTTTGTGAACACTGGTCCAGTTCAAAGCTGGTCATGCAAAACATCCCCGATCCCCTTGGTTACAAAGAACTCAGGGGTTCATACAACCATGAAAACCATAACTCTCCAAAAAAGGCTTCTCTGTAGCTCTGTGGAGCTCAAATTGTACCCAGATAAATGCTGGAGCAAATCTGAAGGAGTCTGGATGCTGGCAGGAAGGGTTCAGCAGACCCTGATGCTGCTGAGTTCAGCTCTCCAGCTGCAGACACAGGGAGGAGCAGAGACCAGATGTGCACAACCCCGGAATTTTCCCCATGAGGGTACCTTGGTGGAGCCCCAGCCCCAGCAGGATTTGGGAATACCTTTGTGAGGTGTTCCCAGAAAAGACTGGCACGAACTGTTCCAGCAGCAGCCAGTGAGAGAAGGGGTGAGAGCAATCTGCTGTTCCTCAGAGAATGCAGGGCTTGCTCAGAGGGAATTGCTGCAGGTGAGACTCGATGGGGAGCTGCTGCTTTACAGTGTCCCCAGAGAGTTTGTCCCAGCTGCTCTGGCAAGAGGACTCCAATGCACACTTTGATTATGTATCTTTTTCAAATCACACCCCCTTTCACTGCAATTTGCTTCAATCTCATGTAACATGATTTTTGTCTTAAATTCCCCGAGTTTCTGCAATAACAAAAATAACAATACAAAAAAACCCCAATACAAACAATAACAAAAGAGTGAATTTTTGGAAGCTATCAGCTTTGACTGCTGCATGGAAGAACTTGAGAATGTTAGTTAAAAAGGTTCAAATATTAAATTATGAATGGAACAAACCTCTCTGTGGTTTATGAAATTGCTGTTGGTTTATGACTTGAATAGTTTAAGGTGGTAAATGATTCTGCAAGAAACTTACTTTTATTCTGGTTGCTGTGTTTAAAAGATAAATATTTATAAAAAATTTATTCCCATTTACAAGACATTTTCTTTTTGTAAGTTCCCATAATAAGGTTTTTTATTCTGATGGATGTGGTTCCAGTCACTGATCTGTTCTTTTTTCTGTTTTTCAGTTATACCAGCAGAGTTGTTTCCAACGGACTAAAGGCACAAATTAATAATCCAGAACTGAAAGTCAAAGGATTGGACCCACTCATCAACAATTTAATTGATAAACTTAAGCACTTCAATCAAGTAAGTAATTTTCCAAGATAAAACCATTTTATCATGGAGCTGAAGGTAAAATAGGTGGTGCTGCTCATCATATTCCATCTTCCAGGATTATAGGCCTGATGTAGCTGTGGTTCCATTCTCCCAGCTGGGCTGTGAACTCCAGTGAGGCAAAATTCCCTGGAATTTGCTGTTGATGAGCTGTTCTGGAGCCCACAGCCCCAGTGGGGAACTCCTGCTCCTCTCAGACCCTGGGATACTCCTGGGCTGGAGGACTGGCTGTAACTTCTTTAAAAATTCTTTTTTTTTGTTTCTTTTTTCTCTCTCTGATTCTGCTGCTGTGCTTCTTCTGCACTTCTCTTTACTCCTGGATTTCTCAGCTTCTCTGAGCTGAGCTCCTTGGGGATATTCCCTCACAGGGAGTCCTGCTTATCTCAGTCCTCTGGGTCAGGACACAAACTCCAAAGCTCGTTAGGATCTTGTTTCTCCTGTTTATTAGGATGTTATCACAAAACTTGGCAGGTATCTCCAGACTTTCTGCACAAGTTTAATTCACTGCAATCTGGTTCATTTCTTTCTGATGGTACAGAACGGCCCTGTGGCTCATTTTGGCTTTGAAAGCACAAAATAGCCCCAAACTAACTTCTTTTATCTTTATACTCATTCTTATCCAATCAACAATAGACACATATATTATTTTTCTTAATGACCCAATGACCCATCATCTGTGTGCTGCACTGTGACATTTTCTATCCAATCACCTACTATTACCTAAAAACCTCTAGGAGAAGAACATGAAGAAGAAAGAAGAAGGAAAAGAAACAACATTCTAAATCCTTCATCTTATCTTCTGCTTTCTAAACTATTTTAAACTATTTTAAACTCTAAACTTTAACTTTTTCACTCAGTGACTTAAGAAAACTCTCCAATCTCCACACTCACACTTTTTACTTTTTCTATCTAACTTTAACAGTTGTTTTCATGTGTCACCATGAAGACATGCTCATGAATCTCATGTTCTATGAAATTCAGTGTTTTTCTGGATCTTAGAGTTAAGTATCAGAAACAAAGGCACACACTCTGTGTCTCAGACTCCAACACTGTCCTTTGTGCAGCTTCCTGCTCCTCATGGGCTGGATACCAACAGATCAAACCCAAAATGAGCCTGTGAGGGTTTGACAACCAACTTGAAAATGCTGAAATCAGGACAGAGGGTGCTCCAGGATGAATTAACCTCACTCCTGGAAAAACATTTCCTTCCCAGGCCTTTTTCTCCCCCAGAAGCACAGGTAACCTCCAGGTTAGTCAGAGATGGGACTGACCTGTGCCTGCCTCTGCCCTGTTTGGGTCCCACAGATGAATTTGGCATTCCTGGTGCTGCTGACATCCTCCAGAGTGGGGCTCCCTGAGCCTCCTGCCCAAGCACAGCTCGCTCTGAGCCCCAGAGCAGGAGCCAACAGATTTAACAGAGATTGATTTTCATTTACAGCAGGCATGTTTTCCTGCCAGCCTGCAAGAAATGCTCACAGCAGAGGTGTTTGCACGCCAGTCTGCTCATCACCTTTCACCATTAAAGAGCAATAAAGCCACCCTGGTGGGTGGGGTGGGCAGGAGGAAAATAATCTGCACAGGTCCAGCTGAGGAGGGATTGCTTAGTCGGGATCTGGGAGGTTGTTAAAGCTGTGGCTGTGACTGGGAGTCAGGAATTCCTCCACTTGCTCCTGAAAAAGTACAATCCTCCCTTACCTCTCATCAACCAATGGTGGTAAATCCATTATCTGAGCTGTAATTAGTGGGGTTTTTTAAAAAAAAAAAAACCACTTGATTGTGTCTAATATTTTCATGTTCTGAAGGCTGCAGTTTAGGGATTCTTTGTATCACACTGATTTAACTCACCATGGGGGATTACAACAACCAGTCTGGTGCAGTACTTAATATTACACTGAAATAGGCATTATGTGGTCAGATTGATGAAAAGGATAATTCATTATTTATCTGTCCTTCCGTGTTAAAAAGCAGAGTGTTAATTTACTTTATAAATATTAGATATATCCATCTGTGTAATAGTGCTCTATAAACACTGACAATAGGAAATAGTTAGATTAAATCAAAAGTAGTTGTATATTGGAAATTCTATTTCTTTGTCTGCTGTAGAAGAGTAGAAATCTCCCTGGTCTGAGCTGCATACCAATTTTCTTAAGTTACCTGCTTTTTAAAAACAATCTCTAAAAGCACTTTTTAACCATCAGAATAAAATCCAGCTCTTGGCTCTGTCTGTAAGTTGGAAGTGTTGCTTTCTGGTACTTGTAACTGTTTTAGGAGAATATCTTCGTTAACTAAATTTAACTCCCATCAGATTGAGGTGCTTAGCAATAATGGATTCCAAGGGTGAAGGATTAAACAGAATACTGATTATTGCCCTAAGATGGTTTGTTCTTAAGTACTTAGAATAATATAAAATCCTTTGATCATAATTTTAGTAAGATTTCTTTGGAGATCAAAGCATCAAAGAAGTTGCTAAATATCTGAGGCTTTCACATGCAACATCAAACACATGTAGCTGTTTTCTACTTCTTGGATTTTTGTTTCACTTGTGATATTATTGTACAAAAGCCAGTTAAATCAGGAGTTTAAAGTGTCATCAATAGTGTGTGTAGACTGTAGAGGTATAGAGAATTCCATTACTAATTTTATGGACAAATTGAGTTTTTTTGTAAGAATACATTTGAAAATGTAATAATATTATTATTATTATTATTATTATTATTATTATTATTATTATTATTATTATTATCATTAGTATTAGTATTATTATTAGTATTATTATTAATGTAGTAGTATTATTATTTTTAGCCGTGTGTAGGGTGAAATTCAAGCCCTGCTCAAATAATGTGGTATATTATAATATATATATCTATATATAAAATATATGTGTATATATATAAAATATATGTATATATAATATATATAATATGTGTATATATATAATATAATATATATAATATATATAAAATATATAATATATATGATATATATATATAATATAAATATTTTTATATATAAATCTATAAAAATATATATATATAATGTCTGTATCTTCTGGAGCCCTTGACATTTTGACATTTGCAGCACTGTTTGGAGCAGTGGTTGCACACAGGAGCAGTCCCAGAGGGGCAGGAGGCCTGGGGAGCAGAGAGCCAAGCAATGCCCACCGTGTGCATCAGGGGTGATTTGGTGTGGCTGGCCCCCAGCAACCTCCTTCCTCTTACATAATATTGCTAAATAATATAAAATAACATTGCTAAATACTCAGAAGAAAGCATATCTTTGGATAAGAGAAGTGTGTGAAGAGACTTAAAGGAATTCCATTTCTGTCTCCTGCCTTGCTGCATCTGTCCCTCAGGGAGCCTGGACCTGTTGCCTTTCCCTCTGCCTGTTTTGCAGAGGTGTTTGAAATGAGAATAACCTGCTGCTGGCTCAGTTTGCTGAGGCTGGGGAGTGCTGTCAGCTCCAGCCACGTTCAAATCAACAGGATTCATTTTCCTAAAAGATTTGCCTTAGCTCAGCAGTTCTTAACGATTTCTGGAGCAAATCGAGTCTCTGCTGTCTGTCACAGTTTCACTTCCACCTTCTTCTTCCCCTGCTGGAGCCCAGCTCCTCCTCATCCCAGCCCTGCAGGGCTTGGCCACTGAGAGTGGCACTGCCAGAAAATTCCCTCATTCAAATCCCAGCCTGACTGGCTTTGCCCTTTCTTTGTTAGCTCCATATTATAAATAAAATATAGATAATAATAGATTAATAGATAAAAGAACTAATAACTTCATTCACCCTAAATCCTGTGAGTGTGAGCAAACCTCTGCTCCTGCTCCTGTTCCAGTTGGTGCATCCCAGCTCCAGCATGTTACAAATAATCTGTATGCAAGGCATCTTCCATTTCTGCTGTCACTTAGGCTGAAATGCCACTTTGTTTGAGATTATAGCAGCTCCTCATTTTTCTTTTTTCATCTGGGACTTAAATCCTCAGCACATAGTTGTTATTTTTTTTTTTTTTTTCTAAAATGATTATGCAAATAGCAGGCTATTTTATATCCACTTGGCAAAGCTGGAAATGAAGTAAAATTTAGAGAATATTATTCAACAATTACTGTTATTTGCTACCCTGACAGATAAGGTGGTTGAAGGGTTTATTGTAGTGGCTGATTCACATATCAATAGAATTACTGAGCTACAATTTATGGTAACTTCAAGTAATGCAAAAGCAGATCAAGTGAAGTCCCAGGTTGGTTTGGAAAAAGTGGCAGAAATAACATCTTTTCCTCTCTCTTTTTTGTGAATAGAACAGGTGTGAACCACAGCTGATGGTAAACACAGTAATCACCCATTGGATCTTTTTTGTGCACTACTTCTTACCATAAAATCACACTTAAATGTTTTAATGTTTTTCTTCAGCTTTTCATAGTTCAAACTAAACTGGTTCTCAGGCCAAGGTTAGAAATCCTCAAGGATCAATTAAACTGAGAAGAAATGAGAATGCTGGGCAAAGTGGAAAAGCTGTGACTGTACCTTTACTAGCAGGGAGGTATCAACATTCTCAAGGGATTATAATACAATAAGCATTATACAAGTTTGACTTATTTGGTTTTTGTCAGCCTAAATCTACTCTTGACAGGTTTTGTGAATCAGTGTGTTTTGCTCTTGTCAGAGATGAATGCTTAGGGCATGGCTGCAGTTCAAGACAGAGCAATAACCTAGTGCAGAAAATGAGAGTAATGTCAAAGCAAATCTTCCTGAATGTGGACCCATGTGTTTTATTTTTTTTTCTCTGCCAAAATCTCCTGGATCTGCCAGCTGAACTAAGAAATGCATGTAACTTAATTCCTTTCAGACTTCTGTACAGAGGATTCTGTTAGAGCAGAGTTCAAAGCAGCAGTACTGAGATGTTTCATTCCAATAGTATGAGCCAGCCATAATTTAATCTTGAAAGTGAATTTAATTGAGTTATACAATAGGGAATAATACAATAA